GGTAATTTCGCCTACAATGATGCACAAAATTTGACTGGTATGGCTAACTTAATTTGTGAAGAAAATTTGCCTTATTTGTTTTCTGAAAGTCTTGCTTTAAAAGATTATGCACAAGGTAGTTTAAATCCTCAATTTAGAAATTATAGTCGCAAAACTGTTAAGAAAGAAATAATAAGGCTTTATAATGCGGAAAAGGAAAGGTTACAAAATTTTTTTGCAAACTTTGATGGGCGTGTTACTATTTGTTCTGACATATGGGAGGATGATTTTCATCATTTATATTATTTGGGTCTGACTGCACATTATATTGATGAGGATTGGAATATGCATAAACGTGTTCTTGCTTTTCGTGAATTTAATGATCGTCACACCGCTGAACATATTTATATTTTGATTGAGCGTATTTTAATTGAGTATAATTTGATTGATAAGGTGTTTGCTATTGGTTTCGATAATGCTACTAATAATACTGCTGCTATACCTAGATTGCGTGAGTTGTGTGGTGCCAATTCTTTGATGGGTAGATTTTTTCATCAACGGTGTGCATGTCATGTTATAAATTTATGTGTGCAAGACGGTTTAAAAGCGTTAGGAGATTCCATGGAGGTAATAAAGGGGGGGGTTAGACGTATTTGGGGTAATGGTCAACTTAGATTAAAATGGCAAAGTTATTTGACTGAAAGAGGTGTGAGATATGTTGCTTTTCCTAAAGATTTGAGTATTCGTTGGAATAGTACTTATAAATTACTTAAAGTTGTTCTTAGATATAAAGAACATTTTCCTGCTTTTTTAAAAGAACATGATAACTATATTATAAACGCGGCTGAGATCGACACTTGCGAAAAAATTTGTAATGTTTTGATATATTTTTTTAATGCTACTGAAACTTTTAGTCATGTTTATAAACCTACCGCAAACCAATTTATTCCACAAGCTGTTAATCTCGCCGATGCTTTTAAAGAATTTCAAAATGCCGTTTTCGTTCATTATTTTTGTGATCATATGAAGGAAAAGTTTTTAAAATATTATGCGCATATTCCCCATATTTATGGTATTGCATTTATTCTCGATCCTCGTTATAGACTTGCTAATTTGGAAGATTGTTTCAACTTCTATTATCTTGCGTTTTTCGGTGAATTTCCAATGTATGAGGATAACCCCATAGATCCGAAAACGGAATACAACGAGGTTAGTACTTTATTTTATGCCTTATTTAATGAGTTTCGTGCACAATATAGCAACGCTCCCCCTCCCCCGTCACGAACATCTTCATCTAAAGGAAAATCGATTTTTAAATCTGCATTTGGCAATCTTATGAAAAAAAGTAAAACAACTCACGTCACTGAACAAAGCGCATTGAATGAGATTACTTTGTATTTAACATATGAAGTTGATTTTGAAGAAAATGATGACTTTGACGTTCTAGACTGGTGGAAGTCAAAAGAAAGAACGTTCCCGATTTTAGCACGGATGGCTAAGCAAGTACTATCAATGCCGGTTTCAACAGTTGCGGTGGAACAAGAATTTAGTTCGGCCGGCAACGTCCTAACGGCATCTAGATCGAGATTGAGCGCGGAGTCTCTTGAGACGCTTATATGCTACCACGATTGGTTGAAGGCCGCACGTAGAACTCAAGAATTGAGCATCACCCCCTCCCAAGATTTTATGGATGACTCAACAACCGATGGTGGCTCTACCTATGCCGGAGATTCCGATTGATTAGTATTTTAGAATTTAGTACAAAATGTATTTTATAGCACTTGTCAAATTTATTTATACTTGTACTTCATATTTCAAAATTGTAAACTTGTACTTCATATTTCAAAATTGTAAATTTGTAGTTGTAGTTCAAATTAATTTGTAAACTTGTACTTCATATTTCAAATAAATATGTGTTCACTTTTTCATATGTAGCACTTCTCAAATTAATTAATTGGTTACAATCTAACGACTTAAAATTATTTTTCTAAAATATAAAGCCGGTTTTTAAATTAAAAATACATTTAGAATATGTAATTTGTTTAAATACTTATACACCTATTTTGTAACATTTGTTTTAGTTTTACTTAATTCATTAAATTAATTAATTTATTTTACAATATGTGTATAACTTAAAAAAAAAAAAAAAAAAAAAAATTTCAAAGCTCCCAAACGGCTATATAGCCGTTGGGGCTATGGGTGGGGGGCAGGGGGGTCCCGGGGGTGGTGGTGTGGGGAGTGGGGTTCAAAAACACCTATAAATACATCTATTTTCTAACATTTTTCTACACCTTCTCTCCAATTCTTCTCAAACTCTTCTCCATCTTTATCTTCTCTTATTATCCTACATTCCTACTTAATTACTTATAGTGTTATACATATACCATTTTAAATATGGAAAGTACATCTTCTCTTATGCAAAACAATTTTGACAAGTGGAAGGACCCGAAGACCGGACTGTGGTGGGCAACTTGCAGGTGGTGCAAGAAAGAGTGTTGCTTGGGGGGTTCATACGGATACGGGATGCCAATAAAACATATGAAGTCTTGTGACAAAGGGAAAACAACCAACGGTGGCGGAAATCCCAATTGATATTCATTACAAAATGTATTTCGTATTGTTATTTTTTTCTCAATTCTCAAATGTAGTTCTTATTTCAAATAAATGCACTTGAACTTTGTTTTTAATAGCAATTTGTATAATATATAATTAATATAAAAAAAAAAAAAATTTATTGACCCGGCCCGGCCCGGCCCGGCGGGTGGCCCGACCCGTGACCCGGGCGGGTGACCCGGCCCGAACCGGAACCGGTCATTGACCGGGCCGGTCCCGGGCCTACCCTTATAGGACCCGAGGCCCGACCGGGCCTTGACCCGGCCCGGGCCCGACCCGGCCCGGGTCCATGCCTGCCTATTAATTTAGCCAAACACTATTTTTCAAGTCAAAGTTGTTCAACTTTGACCGATTATATATTTATACACGATAATATTGATAATACGAAAATTATATGAAAATGTTCTTTGTTGAAAATACTATCATAAAACTATAAATTTATTAACTTTTACGTAAATATACTAGTTAAAATAATAAATCAAAGTTTATTACCTTTGACTGGAAAAGTCAAAGTTGGCTAAATAAAAAGGGACGGAGGTAGTATTAAATATTATTAATGGTAACACGGTCTTTCCTGCTCCAGTTGGTTGTTTAAGAGACTTTTCTTCATGTGTTTTTGAGATTGACTGTTTGACCATTGATTTTTTTATGATCTCCCTTCTTATGTGATACTTGCTGATTTATTGGGCCTCTTTCTAACTAATAACTATTTGGAGGTTATATAGATTGTCTTAATATCGTCTCTGATGTTATATATGATTTTTAATGTTGTGCGACTGACTTTTTTGAATATAATGCCAGGGTTCCAAGACTAATAAATGGAAACTCAGAGTTAGGAATATTCCTTTTCAGGTAACATCTTCTTTCTAGCATTTTATTCTATTTGTATGTGGTGTGTTTGAATTAGCCGATTAGGGAAAAATCTATTTGTAAATTTGTTAAAACTGAATGCAGACCAAAGTGAATGAGCTAAAGACCATGTTTTCAACTGCTGGCTTTGTATGGGATGTCAATATTCCCCTTAATGTAGAGACAGGGTAATAAGTCAAGCAACAACACTTTTATTTCAAGTTTAAAATTCTTCCTCAAAATGGACTTATGGTGAAAACGGTTTGTGCCATGTAAACTTTGGCACACTCATATAGGGGTGGATCGGTGAAACTGAAAACCGAATCGAAAAAACCCAAACTGCAACCAAAACAATTGAACCGCAAGAAAACTGAAATCGAACTCAAAAAACCGAACCGAACCATAGTTGTTTGGTTTCGATTTTGGTTTTCACATCTCAAAACCGAACCGAACCAAACAAACTAAACTTTTTAAAACTTGCTATTTTATTTATTTATCATTAAATATAATATTTTCTTTAGTGTTTAATTCTTAATTCTAGAAAATTAATGCTTGCTACTAGATTTAGTGAAACACTTGTACATACATTTAATTAAGTCTAATGCTATATCATTAACATGTTGATATTTTAAATCATAATTTACATTTTACTTGTTGTTGCGTGAAAATGATATTTTGTTGATATATTAATTATTGTGTGTGTTTGTGATCACATGATTTTTTATATTGAACAAATATTTAGTAATATAAACTATACTTTAAATAACATAGCAGAAAACGTGAAACTCATAAATATTTTTGTCTAAAAAGAAAGTAGAACAAGTTATTTGCAATCAATAAAAGCCTTTTAGTAAAAAGAAAATGAATTAGAGGACACAAAACTTACAAATAAAATTTTAACTTGCGAATGCACTACGTATAATTGACAAATAAACTTATGCATTTAATTAATTTAGAATGTTTAAATTAATATACACTCTCTAATGCATTGCTTGGAAGTGCGTTTGTTTCTTCTCATTTTAAATTATGTTATTGTATTGTATTACTATTAATTATAGTTTGATGTTTATTTTTCTGTTTTTGTTTTCCGATTATTAATTTTTAATCAACAAAAATATTTTGGCAGAAATTAAAAAAAATGAAACCAAACAGAAATAAATCGAACTAAACAAACCATGGTTTGAAATTTTTGAACATAAAACTAAACCGAACCGAACCGAAATTTTTCACTTTGTTTCAAAATTTGATTTTAGGTGAAAACCAAACCATTTGAACCGAACCCACCCTACTCTCATAAGCTCCAAAGGAATAGTAGGATCAAGAATATCAAGTGTAAAACAAGAATTAGAATTGGGAGGGGAGGGAGGATGACCATCTGCAAGTTTGGGAGAAGAAATGGAAGCTCAGACTCAATGAGAGAACATATGCGAGAGCAAGGAGAGGTGAGGAAGAAAGAGGTGGGAGTAGAAAAGAAAAGAGTAGGGGAGCTGCTAGCCTATTGAGAAAGAAAATAAAGAAGGGGGTGGTTGAAATTGGTGCTGCTATTTTCAGAATAAAAACATAAAGTTCTATTTTGGGACTAATCATATGTTCTTTATAATATCGAGATATCATCATACTCTTAGATGCTAAACATGCTACGTGTATTGTTTTTGGTAATTGGAATGCCACAACCAATCTTTCCCAAGTAAAAATATACAAAAAGAACAGAGAAGTAGAAATTCTACTATTCTACTGTAGAATAGTAGAGAATGGCCCGGTTTACAACATACAGTGTAAACTATTGAGTGCAAACTTGAATGATAAACGAAGGGAAAACTGCATCTTTTGACAGAATTGCACAACATAACTTTTAATTCTATTTGTCAAAAGGCAACTTGGATGAAAACGGTTATAATTGGAACCATCTCTTCAGCTGCTTTTTGTTGCCACTCTTCTGGTCGAAATTACCCTTTGTGAACTTGGATCTGTATTGATCAATGAGCACGTCAAGCTTGTCCATCACATCCTGTCCCACTGGGTCTGCATTCTTTTTACGTTTTTTTCCTACCCCCGAGGTGTTGCTTTGTTTCTCCAGAAGAGTCTCATCATTCAGTCTGCCCTTTGATCTATGAGTCCCGGCTTCAATATGTATAGACTTATTAGTGCGGGCACTCTTCATTTGTTGAGATCTAACATCCGTGAGCTTTCCTTTTCCATTGTTCTCTTTAAGCTTCTCCTCCTTTGAACCTATCGACACTTTCTTTTGCTTTTGCTTCTTTGCTGTTCTGGCTGGTTCAGTGTTTGCTTCTTTCTCACCGTTGGATTTGCACTTTCTTGACTTTTCACTTTCTCGTGAATTTTCTGTCTTACGTTTAGAGCCATTTGGGTCAACATTAATTTTTTCCATCTTGTGATGAAACCCAGTTGACTGATCTTGATTCCTCTCTTTATGGCGCAACAGTGTATGGACGTTATCAATAGAAAACTCTACAATTGGACGGTGCTCTGGTCCGAAAGTCCCTGGAACACATGTAACAACATGAGATAATTCAGCTTGGATTCACCTGAGCTGGACAAATTAAAATAACCTTCTCTACACCAAAAAGCTAAACAGTACTCCATCTGGTCCTTGAAACAACTCACTTGTGAGTGATGAAATTAAACAGATCAATAAAAACATCTATAAAACTCTAAATCATCTCACACTACAATTACCTCAGTAATGAACAGCACAATCCAACATATACTCCAAGTCTTCAATAAGGGCAAATAGTAGGAAGGGGAGAGGGTTAAAAGCTTCATTGCAATTGTAAACAAAATCTTACAAGGACCACCACTACTTTACATAATCGTTATTTAAGGAGAACCAGAGTCCATAGAGAGTATTTCTATTGGAGTGTAGTATATAAGGAATTAAGGAGTATTACCAGGATTATTATTAAGAACTCTGAGAGCCACAAGTGCATGTTGGTGCTCAGTGAACTCAACAAAGGCAACTCCACGAGAGTGATTCTTGACTACCAGTTTACCCTTTTTAGTATCCTCCAAAAACTTTATCTGCAATTTAGAGAGAGAAGCACAAAAGTTGTTGAATATTGCTAGGCTGTAGATAGATAGACAGAGCTATCTGAGGTGATGACTAAATTACCTAAATAACTAATCACCACTTACCTGCCTGATCATGGGCTTTTGCTTAGTAGCTCGAGAAGTAACTGCATCTAAGCAAAGTTTCTTAAGCTCTTTATCAGTCATTGATTTTGGAAGATTGTATATAATTAGTCGAGTCCTTGATACATGGAAGTTTGGTGACTTAAGTTTGATCATCTTCTTTTCATGCAATCTGTAGAGAAATACACTAAAACTGTTCATACTCAAACAAATGCATGCACACGAGAAAAGGGGAAAATATATTTTTCTTGAGGTTTTGAAATATTATTTTCCATACAAGCGGATACAATAAACTTCCTTTGTTCTTTTTTAAATGCAACACTTTGCCTTTCAAATTTGACAATACACAACTTTCACTATTGATATATTTAAATGACTATTAGTAAAAAATATAAAAAAAATATTTTTATAGTTTAAATTGAGATGACTTTAAAATTATTAATAATAATTTACTTTCTTAACACATTGACCAATAAAATATAATCGAAGTAGAGTATGTAAATAGTACAAAATTTAAGATGTTACAACTAATAAAGAACAAAGGTAGTATGCAGTCGAAGTTTTAGTATTTTATCTAGTAGATTTACATAAAGATTATCCTAGTACTAGTATACAGTTAGATTGTTGTAGCACCTTTTAGGGAGATAGTTTATTGTTATTCTATTCCTATTATTTAGGATCTGTAACCTCCTGTACATGTATATTTATCCTCCTTTGACTCTTTATTCAAACCTAAATGGTATCAGAGCCTACCCTTTAGAAATAGCAGAGCAAACCTTTTTTCAATGGATCCCATATCCAAAAAAAGTTCACTACCCTACCTCTCGTGTCTTCTACGACCTCTTCAAGAAAAGCACTTCATTCATCTATGCAGGCTACTGTTCATAGACTGAATGGAAGCAACTACTTGGAATTTTCTCAATCCGTGAAGTTGGCCACTGATGGTAGAAGCAAACTAGGGTTCTTAATGGGTAAACCCCATGTCCCAACAACAGATAAACCCAATTACAAAGTACTCTCTCCGTCTAGCTAAGATTGTCTCATACCAAATTTGGTAAAATTTGTGTGGTTCTAAATCCTTCTTACTTTATTCTTACTTTATCAATTCAATATGAACCAAATAAACTAATCTTTCTTAATAACTGTGTCAGCTCTTCGTGTCCCATTGTTAATGGGACGGAGGTAGTATAATGATTGGAGAACTCCTTGATCATTGCGTGGCTGCTCATTCTAATGGATTCATAAATGGCTCGATCCCATATGTTCCTCAAAACGACGAAAGAAGTTTAAGATGCTGATTGTGAGACCTATTCAGACCTTGAGAACTTTGCACAAACCTGAGCTGAAAACCCAACTATAGGAATCCAAACAGGGCCAACTTGATGTGACCACCTACTATAACGAAATGGTCACTTTTTGACAGGAACTTGATCACTGCAACAACATATGGGAGAACTAGAAGGACCAAGCTTGTCAGCAGAAGCATGAAGAAAATGACCATGTCTTTATGTTCCTTGCTGGTGTGAATCAAAGCCTTGACAACTTCAAGGGCAGAATTCTTGGTCGCACACCCCTCCCGCCAATCTGCGAGGTCTTCCCTGAAGTTTGTCTTGAAGAAAATTGGCGCAAGATCATGAACACGGACAAACATCTGATGGACAGTGGCAGCAATACAAATAATGCTTCTGCACTAGTAGTTCGGAACAACAAACAAGGTGGGGACAAGAAGAAGAAAGTCAAGAAACCCTGATGTGATTTCTGCAAGAAATTTTGGCACAGCTGTGTTATTACCTGCTGGAAGATTCACGACAAACCACCCGGATGGAAAGCTAAATCCAATCGAGCTCTTCACACCATGGTTGAACCCACTCAAGAGAAACAAGACAAATCAGAACCGGCCCAATTCACTCAAAGACAAATAGAGCAAATTCTAAAATCATAACTGAATCTGATAGAGCGTCTTTTGATAACCTTATTGTGTCCAACTTTATTTCGAAATACAGATCATTCTATTTTCCAATGTGAAATTTGTGCACTTGATAAACATCATAAAAGCATATATATATACTCCCGGTCCATATGAATCTTCTGTACAAACCATTTCCATTGATTCATACAGACCTTTGGGGTCTTCACGTATCACAACATGTTGTGGCAAAAGATGATTTATAACACTAATTGATGACCACACTACAGTTTATTAAGTATCTTTGTCAAAAAAACAGGCTGAAGTGGAGCAAGTTTTTAAAAATTTCTACAACATGATACTCGCACATTTTGACACTAAAATCCAACTTCTTTGGAGTCATAATGGTAGGGAGTATTTTGCAGAATTTTAAGGATAATTTCTTTAAGAAGAAGTGATTGTTTGACAAAGTTCATGTATTGAAACACCACAATAAAATGGTACAGCCGAAAGAAAAAATATGAGGTTGCTCGTGCACTTATGTTCTCTACCAATATTCCAAAATACTTATGGGGTGATGCAGTTTTACATATTGTTTAATTGATAATAAATAGAATGCCATATAAGGTTCTTCAATTCCAAACTCCAATTACATAGTCGTTATGGCGAGCTTTTGTGGCGCAGTGCCATCGGACCGCCATACAGCCATGGTGATATGGTGTCTGCTGTGGCGACATCGCAGCAATACATCGACATAAGTACAATATTAAATGCTTAATATGTTTTATATAATCAGACAATCACAAATTAAGGAGTAAAACATCTAATCATAGATACAACACAACCCATTAGACCATAACTAATAAATCATAAAACACAAGACTTATCACTTACTAATGGTAATTACTAATTACTAAAACAAAGAAGCTATATTTTTCAGAACATAAATCAAAATTTAAGTTTAAACTTGTTTTAAATGGAATAAATAGTGGAAAGATGGAAAATGAAAATGAAAATGACTAATATACATAATTGTTCCCCTAGACAATTTTTCCCCAAATATACATAATTTGATTTCTCTCTACATATGACTGAAAATGAAAAATCATGAAATAATTAACAAATATACTTTCTATCAAATACAAAAAATTAAATTCATATAGTTGAAAAAATATGTAAAATAAATTTAGAAATATCATAAAAATCATGCAGCAAACGAGAAGAACTGCAAATTCCTCTCCCCTATAAACTAAAAGAAACCCTTCAGTGAACAAGATGGAAAACATAAAAAGAACTGAGATGTTGTGGATGCCAAAGACGACCGAGACGGCGGCGGTCGATGAGCAAGACAGCGGCGGGCGATGAGCGAGAAGACAGCGGCGGGCGATGAGCGAGACGGCGGCGGCGGGCGATGAGCGAGACGGCGGCGGCGGGCGATGAGCGAGACGACGGCGGCGGGCGATGAGCGAGACGGCGGCGGCGGGCGATGAGCGAGACGGCAGCGGCGGAAGATGAGCGAGACGGCGGCGGCGGGAGATGAGCGAGACGGCGGCGGAGGGCGATGAGCGAGACAGCGGCGGGCGATGAGCGAGACGGCGGCAGGCGATGAACGAGACGGCGGCGAGCGACGAGGGAGACGACAGCGGCGAGCGACGAGGGAGACGACAGCAGCGAGCGATGAGCGAGATGGCAGCAGAGAGCGATGAGCGAGACGGCAGCGACGAGCGATGAGTGAGACGACAGCGACGAGCAAGACGCGGCGTCATGGAGCGGTTATGGCTTCATTCAGATGTCTTGCCGTTGATGCGGAGACACTAGAAAACACAGGGCATGTCGAGCCTCCATGACGAGCACGATTGAGCGCCGCGACGCCAAGATGACGACATGGCAACACCGCAACGCCAAGGTGACGACATGGCAATGCCCCAACAACAATGTCCAAATCAAATCCTAGAAAGAGAATATCCTAACACTAGATTGATAAGTTCCATGTCAACAAAAGTCTTTGGTTGCACAATTTTTATTCAAAATCTCAATAGAAAGCATGGAAATTTGAACCAAGGGCGAGAAAGTGCCACTACGACTGAGGTGTTTGAAGTTCAACCATGTTAAAATATGAATTTCATATATTTGCAAGAAGAAATTGTTGGGCTTTCAGATGTCAACATGTTCATTCTATTAAAAAATAGGATCCACTGAATAAATGCCCTTACATCTTGCGCTTGGACATATCACCTGCTGAAACACCTTCAGCAGCTGGGGTTCCTTCCAAAACAAGACCTTCCTGCATTATACATAAAAGTGCAAATAATTGTAATCACTATCAGTATAGATATTTTTATACGAGTTTCAACTGCTTTTGACAGCATTAAAAGAGAAGAAAGTTGATGGACCTTGGCAAGATAAAGGTTACGGTGGTCATGTTCCTCCTTTTTTGTTTTCTCTAACTCCTTATCCTGCGCTGTTTTTTTGTCCACAGCCTTGAAAACCTTCAATTGCCTACCCTTCAGTGGTATACCCAAACCAGATGAGTTGGCAGCTGAAAGAGAAGCTTCAGCAGCATCAACTGTTTTAAATTTGAGAAATCCGGTACCCCTTGGTCGCCTATGGATATTCAATATAGAAAGTCATACAGTGCAACAAGAAAATATAGAGCCCCTTGGTGAGCTTTCTTTTTAGATTATCGACATCTTATATCAAATATCAACTATTGTTACTGCATGCCGACTGATAATGAAAAATACTGTAAAGGTGCTTCTTTTTTTGGTAAAATTGATGATATTGATGCATTTGGCTCTTAAGATAATACTTCTTTTATTTATTTAAATATAACATTTTAGAACATTTGTACCAATTCATCCATTTATTTATTTAAGTAATTAAGTATAAACGCATTATACAAAAAATAATAATACTTGGTGACTTGGTGAAGAACTTGAACGAAGGACTCCACTTCACCAAATGCAGAAAAACGCTGTTTTACTTCTTCGTTATCAACATCGAAAGGAAGATTGTTTATGAAAATCGTCCTGTTCAGATCTTCTACTCCTTCAGTCCACATGGTATTTTTCTCTTTACTACAGCTTTCTGGAATAATAACTTCACTCTTTTCTCCATCAAGCAAGCTGGAAGAATCATCATCCGCAGAAGAAGCTGCCATCCCTTTCGAAGTGGATGTCATTAAATTTTCAAGAACTTTCCTCGCAACATCTGCTTCCATATCAATATTTACTTGTGGCTGTGTGTCTTCTCCTTCTCCATCAACTTCTTCTTCTTCCTCTTCTTCAATCCCATTACTAAGATCTTGTTGGGACTTGGCATCAATCTCTATTTCCTTACCTTCCAAATCAACACTAATGTTATCGCCTTCATCACTTTCATTTTGTCCTTCTGTAAGGAAATTAAGAACGTAAGCAAGAGACGGAGAATGATGTTGTAACAAGTTACAAGAAGTATGGTTTTGTTTGGATGGAGGGTTTTGGGGGGAAGGTTTTGCATGACTAGGTCTATATTTTTATTAAAAGAATGTTTCTAAAACAAATGAACTAATAGTAATGTGATATGACCACCCTTTAACATTTATAAAATCTAAAAATGTAGATAAAAAATGTAGATTAAGCCCCCCAAAACTTCACACTACTACTTTCCTTTTCAAAAAATCAGCATACAACTAAAAGCCAGAGAAAACTATACAAAACACACAAAAATCTTCAGCTATGAAGAAATAGACAATCCTAAGACAATATTCTTTTTCACCCGAAACAAAAAATCACATAAGAAACCAAATATGCATAATATACAACTAAAAGCCAACCAATTTTGCCATCCTCTAAGGTTGCAGCAGGTTGACTATCAGCAACATAAACCTTTTTGGGTACAGCCCAATCAATAGCAATAGGTCTTCCACCAAAAGTCTTTCCATTGAAAGTCATAATAGCCTGTACATCCAAACATTGAGAAACAATAAGAAATTAAGACTGAAAGAAACACATAGTAAATAAATAGAAACTATAATATGTAAAGTTCTACAACTTCAATGGAGATTAGCAACCTGATGCATGCTACAATATAATATTATGCAAAGATAAACAGAGTGATCAAGTAGAACAATGAGGAGTAAAAGTTGATTGACTTGCTTGATTGATTTATTATGATTATAATTTGATTTTACTACCTATATTAGTTAATCTATTTTAGAAGTGATTTTCTAGGATTTCCTTTAACTTGATTTCTGCATTCATATGCATGTAATCCCTCTTATAAAAGGGAGCTTTGCTATGCTAATAAAATATAATAGAAAACCAAGGAGAAGGAAAATGAGTTAATTTCCATAGCCCCCTATCCGTTTATCATTTATGATTCATTCCTGTGACACAAAGAATCCTGGTACATAACACTAGCAGAGTAAAAGCTGAGTGCGTGATTTGGCCATGTGCGTAGAAGATAGAGTGATGCCCCCAGTCGAGTTGAGAGGTGGGGAAAAGAGGCGGGGGAGGAAGACCCAAACAAATGTGGATCAGAGGAGTCAAAGAGATATGCTTCTTCTTGAGTTTGTTGAGAGTATGCCCTTGGTTGATCAAAGTAGAAAGAGAATATTTGTTTGAAGAATTGATCTACTTTCATAATTTTATCTTTCCTGTGTTCTTTATCTTTCTAACTTTTTATCCTTTTTAATTTTATCTATTTTACTCCTTTTTTATATTATCATTTATATCTTTATTGTTCTTTTTTATTTTATCTTATTTGTTTATCTTTCTTATAATGCTGCCATGAAAAAGACAAGGGAGGAAGTTGTTGTGGTAAGCGTGTCACGGTCTATAATATCACTTAGGAGGTGTTTACTTTGCTGCTAAATTCACAGTTAAGTTAATAAGACAGTTAGGTTAGTAAGACAGGTGAAGTAAACATGCACGCTACTTAAAAAGCCGCTTACTAACCGAAAGAGATGCTTAAAGTGCCGCTTACTAAGCATACCCCCCCCATGTATTAATTAAGCGGCACTTTAAGCTTTTTCAGTTTCCAAATTTACCCCTTATTACCTTATTGTTACCCCTCTACCCGCTACCCCCCACCCCGCCACACCCTAACTACCTCGACCCCGACCCCACCCTACCCACTACCTCCATCCTGGTACCTTACCCCTAACCCTAGCCTAACCTCACCCGACCCACCCTACCCCTACCCCTACCCTACCTTACCCTAACCCCACCCTACCCTACCTCGGCCCACCCCAATCCCGACCCCACCCTACCCCACCCCCTACCCTGCCTTACCCTACCTTACCTCGAGTCCTCTACCCACCCTACCCCTTACCCCTACCCCTACCCCTACCCCTACCCTACCACGGCCCCTACCTACCTCCTAACACATGCTCCTACCTCGGTCCCACCCCGATCCCGACCCCACCTTACCACCATCCTATCCTACCCTAACTTACCCCGACCCCACCCTACCTTACCCCGACCCCACTCGACCCTATCATACTCCAGTCCTACCCTACCCACCATCTTACCCCTAACCACGACCCTACCCCACTCCCTACCTTTTGCCCCTACTTTAGCCCCACCCCAACCCCACCCATGGCCCTTACCACCCATCCCCTACCCCCACCATATGCCCCCTACCTCGGCCTCACCCCGATCCAGACCCCACCCTACCGCCATCCTACCCCCACCCACCCCCTATCGTGTAGGGTAGGGTAGGGGTCAAGGGTGTGGAATTGGGGGTAGGGTGTAAGGTAGGGGTAGAGGTGGGGGGTACGTGGGGGGTACGTGGGGGGTAAGGGGTTAGCGGTATGGGTACATGTACGAGGTGACCCCACATATTATATTATGTACTTGTGTTCATGAATGTTTGTGCATCTATAAATTTATAGGCTTATTTTGGACATTTTAATGTTAAACATTGTTTTAAACCCTGTGAAATAAACTCGATCTTACAATATTGCTTATTTTATGCGCCGCTTATTAACGTGGGTCTTAATAAGCACCGTTTAGTAACCCGTGAAGTAAATATGTCCTTAGTCACACATCACATGACATGAATCGAAATATGAATATCGCTCGCTACAGCTAGATTGACACCTGTAAGCAATGTGCCATCCTTCCACCTAGAGGTAGAGAGTCAAATATGCAAGGGGCCAAGGGGGCGTTACACTTAAAAGGCCTAGGTGTGGTGATAAGAATGCTATGGTTACTAGGTGTCGCTTGAAAGTAGAGGAACCTCACAATGCCCAAAATGGTGTCAAATATGTGAGGGCATGGTGGGTGTTGAGATGGTGTTAAGAATAGAAGGTGAAATTCTAGAATGCGCTTTGGGACATAGAACATTCGGTCTCTTACAAGAAGATTATCTGAGGTAGACGAGGTGATGAGGAGTCAAAGTGTTTCTTCCAATCTGTTCAGCATCGCAGCACAGCTTCTTGCAGAACTCCTCGATGTTGTCAGGGATCTTCTCCCGCAAGTCCCTCCCCAGCTTGAATAAGTTGATCCCATCCTCAGAAATCCGACCGCCGGTGACACTAGAAGTTCCGGGTAGGAGCTGCTGAGTTGTAAACCAGACTTTCATGAAAGGGTTCTCCAATCCATGCTAGACTTGGCGCTGACGATAAAGTCTGACTTCGCCAACAAATTAGCTCGATGGCCAAGTAGAGGTCCCGTCCAGGCAGCCGGATTTCAATGGAGGAGACATAGACATTGTGGGTGATCTCCTCTACTCGACGGCCCCTGAGTGCAGGTGTATAAAAAACCGAGAATAATGCGGAGTAGTAGGTTTGGGAAAAAGAATAGAGAAGTGGGGCAGAAGAAAAAGGGGGTGAAAGAAAGTAAAAGAAAAGAAAAAATAAAGAAAAGAATTTAAATAAAACAACCGGATTGCCACGTCACCGGAGCAACCGGTAAACCGAAGAGTAACCTACTAAATTATAAAATTGACTGCTTATTTAAAGTTCTTAGGTTTAATTGACTTTTTTGATATACTATGGTGGCCTATTTGACAGTTTTCCCAAGAAATATCAGCATCATTGTTTAAAATTGCGCAATGCCTTTACGCAATAAGGCATACAATCATTGCGTCTGACATAGAGCGGAAGTTGAGGCGCACCTCAAATAACAGGCCTAATTGCTGCAGCCCAAGTTCCCAAACTAATTTTATTTTAAAAATACATACCATATTTGGCATAGTATATACGTTTGCATAGCAAGTAGCTAGTAGCGACTTCTGCAATGATTAAAGGGCGGCTGGCTTTCTTCTCTGTGGCGGTTATCTTCTACAATTTTCTGCGTACTTTCATCCTTTTCTTCACGCTAACATACCTGGTTGTCTACGTATTTTATTTGTTTATCGATAAAATTGACATAGGAGTTAGTGGAATAGTGGGCACTGCATGGGCAGAATAACAATTACTCCACTAAAGATATTTTAGTGGATGCGTATTACTTTATCAGCTTATTTGTGAGTTAGCGGATGAATTCATTATACTAGTATAATTTTATTAACTTTTTTGTTAGTTAATTGATGAATAATATACTACATATAATCTTATTAACTATTTTGCTAGACCGAGAGGGTGAGGACCATGAGCTTCTTAGCCGGGATCAACTCTTGGCTAAGACCCGGGAGCGACTAGCTCAAGCCCAGCAACGTATGAAGCTGCAGTATGTCAAAACTCATGGTGATCTTTCCTTCCAGACAGGAGATTGGGTCTGGCTACGCATTCATCCTCACAGACAACTCTCCCTAGGTCACGGTAACCATAAATTAATTCCAAAGTTTCATGGACCATTTCAGGTTCAGTCATGAGTTGGAGAAGCAGCATAAAAATTGAAATTACCACCTGCGAGCCTCATTCACGGTGTGTTTCATGTCTCTCTTTTAAAGCCACACAAGGGGACCCCACCCACAACCATGGGAACCCTGCCATTGCTAGTTGACCCCCTGACGAAATTACACCGCTTGCTATTCTCCGCAACTGTTTGCATCATGGCTCCTTAGAATTCCTAGTCCAGGGGAAATCAATTGAAGAAGCCTCCTGGGAACCTGCAGATACATTTTGGGCCATGTATCCAGATTTTGAGCTTGAGGACAAGCTCCTAGTCAATGAGGGGAGTGATGTTATGCACAAGTTTTGGGGCCCAAAATATCAAAGGCGCAGAATTGGCCAAAGGGGTGATTGGGCCGAAGAAATTCAGCCCAATGTGACCACTGAAAGTGGCCGACTTTGGGAGCAAGTTCCTGCATTTACTTTACTGCTTTTTAATTCAGTTTAGCAAGTTTCCAAATTCAGTTTTAAGTAAGTTTCTTAATTCAGTTTTAGTAAGTTTCCTAATTCTCTTTTAAGACTCTTGTAAGACCTATATATATGGGTCCTCAGTTGTTTTAGAGGGAAGTTTTTGGCAGATTTAATTATTGTGTCTTGACAAGGTTGGGCGCCAAATTAATTCCAATAAAATCTTTTATTTTCGTTCTCTCTCTCAGCTCATCATAGATCCGAAAATTTATTCATCTCAGTACTTGAATTCGCTTCCTTTGTCTCGTTCTCGACCTTGGACGAGATCGTGTACGCGCACTCTTAACATCTGATTTGATATTTTATGATGTTTTATAATCATTTAAGTTGGGGCTGGGACATAAATAAGTCCCCATGAAAATGTGTTAGAAGGTCTGTGTGAGTTTATGAATGATAAAGAAAATATGTCAAAAAGACAACGCACCTTTTCTGCATCTTGCTTGGACGTAAATTTAACAAAGGCAAAACCCTTGGATAAACTGCAAAATACAACACGGCAAACAATAAAAGAAATTTGGAAAAAGATAGAGATTACTAAGTGTTCAATGATTGATTTATTACCCTGTCTCTACATTAAGGGGAATATTGACATCCCATACAAAGCCAGCAGTTGAAAACATGGTCTTTAGCTCACTCACTTTGGTCTGCATTCAGTTTTAACAAATTTACAAATAGATTTTTCCCTAATCGGCTAATTCAAACACACCACATACAAATAGAATAAAATGCTAGAAAGAAGATGTTACCTGAAAAGGAATATTCCTAACTATGAGTTTCCATTTATTAGTCTTGGAACCCTGGCATTATATCCAAATAGTTATTAGTTAGAAAGAGGCCCAATAAATCAGCAAGTATCACATAAGAAGGGAGATCATAAAAAAATCAATGGTCAAACAGTCAATCTCAGAAACACATGAAGAAAAGTCTCTTAAGCAACTAACTGGAGTAGGAAAGACCGTGTTACCATTAATAATATTTAATACTACCTCCGTCCCTTTTTATTTAGCCAACTTTGACTTTTCCAGTCAAAGATGATAAACTTTGATCTATTATTTTAACTAGTATATTTACGTAAAAGTTAATAAATTTATACTTTTATGATAGTATTTTCAACAAAGAACATTTTCATATAATTTTTGTATTATCAATATTATCGTGTATAAATATATAATCGGTCAAAGTTGAACAACTTTGACTTGAAAAATAGTGTTTGGCTAAATTAACAGGGATGGAGGGAGTAGGTCTTAACTTCCAAACTCAGAGAAAAAGAAAGGTCGAAGGTGAGGACATCCAAGAGAAAGCACCCGCAATAGACAATAAAATTGTTTTAAGTCGCCAAATTCATATTTGTGGACAACAATTACAAATCATTTTCTGAGCCAGTCAGTATAAATGAAAATGTTACCTGTCCACCAAGTTGGCGCACCCAAATAGTCCTCCCTTGTATCTCTCTTTGGTGTAAGGTTGCTACAGAAGTTTGAGCAGATTTCACACGAGTATACAGCACTGATGAAGCATTGACTGTACACCCATCTTGAGCCAACCCTAATTTACTCAAAAAATGAAGTGGAACTACAAGCATTAATCGATATGAACATGGCAGAATACTTGAGTTAAAAAAGTGGCTGGTGCTAATAAGTGATGTGTTTATATCTGGTCCATAGTTGTTACGGCGGTGTTTTGCGGCGCGGCGCCATTGGACTGCCATACCGCCATGGCGATATGGCGCCCGTCGTGGCGGAGTCGCGGCGATAAGTCGACATATACACTTATAAATTCATAATATGTATTACATACTAAAAAGCCTATATGTAACACTTATAGCCAACACTACTAATGAAGTAAATGAAGTAATAAAACATGTAATCATAGAAATAACATAACCCATAAGACCATTAACCATAAGCCTATAGTTCATCAACACAATCACATAAATTATCCATAATCCAAAAACTAGAAAAATAGAAATAACATAATCCAACATAAAAATACTTAAATGTATAACTAAACAATCAAAATTTCACTAAAAACTTAACAAATATTATTAAATGTAAGACAACACAATTACACAACGTAAATTTCAGCATAAATTGAAGACATCGAAAAAATTATGAAATATAAAATAAAAAACTACTGATATTTATTCATTATTTGGGGAAAAACTGAAAAAAAAAGTTCATAAAATTAAAACTTTTCTTAAAATAGTAACAATAGTACAATACTAACTTTTCAAAAACTATTTGACTTTCTGTAAAACATTAACAGTTCAACATCAAATTCAAAGCATTCAACAAAATATTAAATACAATTTTTTTGAGAAAAATTAAATACAAAGTTAATATACAAAGTTGGATGATTTTAAACCCACGTACCCAACTGGAGTAATAACTAAACAAATACGAATCACATACCCAAACTAAAGTTAAAAGTCCAAGTCTTAAAAAAAATTTGAAGCAAGTATAACTGCGAACCAGGACTGAGCGTGTGACCGATTGAAGACGGAAGGGAAGAGGGGCTTGCGGACTGCGGGAGATGGATTGAGCGCAGATGGGACTCTGCGTTTGGAAACTCGCCGAGCGCAGATGGATCGGTCTGGTTTATTTTATTTGATGGGTTAAAATTTTTGGGTTTGCCTTTGGGCCTATTAAAATAATTCGTTGCCTAGGCGCGTCTAAAGCGTTCTTCCGACACCTCAAGGACACTGCTTCGACGCCACAAGGTTTATGGCGAGTCGACAACATATGGCGAGCGTCTCCTAGTGCCAGGACGATGTGGCGACGATAAGACAACGCCATGGTGACGCAATGACAACTATGATCTGGTAAATGTAATACTACCTCTTGCCCAAAAAGGTTTGCCATATTGACTTTTCTTGATCAATGACGGCAAACTTTGGAGAATGATTATAATTATTATATTTGTATATAATTTATACATTTTTTACTTTTATGAAAATAACTCTGCCATGAGAGCATTTTTCGTATCATGTCTGTCCCAAACCAGGATAAAGGAGGATGTTGTGATAGGCGTGTGAAGGCCAACAGTATCACTTAGTCACATCACACGACATGAATTGAAATATGAATATTGCTACAACTTGGTCATCGCCTGTAAGCGAGGGTGGTGTCAACTATGCAAGGGAAAGCTACGCTTTATAGGCTTGGCGTGGTGATAAGAATGCTAAGATTACTAAATCATCGCCTGGAAGCGACGCACCACTTCACTTCAATGTCTGGGGATGGTGTCAAATATGCAAGGGCATGATGGGGGTCGATGTGGTGTGAAGAATCGAAGGGGGCTAAATTGTGTTTTGGAACGTGGAATGTTGGCTCTTTTACGGGAAGATCATCTGAGGTAGTCGAGGTTATGAGGAGGAGGAAAAATTAATAGCATTATGTGCGTGCAAGAAACTCAATGGGTTGGAGAAAAGGCATGTGAGATTAATCTCGGAGGTTTTAAGTTGTGGTTTTCGGGGAGAGATAAGACCAGAATGGAGTAGGCATTATTGTGGCGTGTAATTATGTTGAGGGAGTGGTGGAAGTCTTTAGGAAAAATGACTGTATCATGAGCATTAAATTGGTACTAGGAGATGAGATCATGATGATCGTGGTAAGTGCATATGCACCGCAAAGTGGGACCGGATGCATCTGTCACTCAACAATTTTGGGAAGATTCAAGGAAATGGTGCGATGAGTGACAAGGGGAGAAAAGTTGGTCATAGGTGGCGACCTCAACGGGCATGTGGACCCAAGTCATGATGGTTTTCAGAATATCCATGGAGGCCATAGTTTTGGCATATGAATTGGTTGTAATCAACGCTTAGTTCAAGAAAAGACTCTTACCTTATGACCTATAAAAGTGGAGCTAGTAGTACCCAAATTGGCTACTTTTTAGTATGCACGACTTGGAGAACTAGATACACTGATTGTAAGACAAAAAGAGAATGCGAGTTAAGGTACGAATGGAACCAAAGATAAAGTGGTAGTGGAGGCTTGAAGGAGATCTTCAACACAGTTTTGCACACAAAATGTTAGAGGAAGATGTATGGTGTATTTAAAATGACGCACATATAGACGATGTGTGGTTATCATTGGAGTCGACCACTAACAAAGTGGTGAATGAGATACTTGGAGAATCTAAAAGATGTCTACCACAAAAAAGGACACGCCTTCGTGGAATGATGAAGTGAAATATATAAGCAATAAAGACCAAAAGGAAATGCTACAAAATGTTGGGCAAAAGTTGGAGCGATGTGAACATAGAGGAGTACATGGAGGCTATAAAAGGAAAGCAAAGAAACGTAAAGGAAGCAAGAGGGAAAGTGAACAAGGAATTGTATGTAAAATTGGACTCTAAGGAAGGAGAAAAATATATTTACATACTTGTTCGCCTTCGTGATCATACCCAAGATATTGAAAAAGTTAAGTGTGTGAAGGATGTCGACCAAAGGATACTAATGGAGGACGAGGAAATAAAATAGAGGTGGATGTCATACTTTGATATCTTGTTCAACGGGAATAAAGTGAAAGGTATTGATGATCTTACTATACCCGGTTGTATGGTAAATTGGGACTTTGTGAGAAGGCAAATGACAGAAGTTAAAATGATCTGAGAAAGATGGGGCTGAAGAACGCAATGAGTCCAGATGGCGTACCGATTGAGGCCTTGAGAAGTTTGGGAGAGAAAGGCATCGAGTGGCTAACACGTTTATTCAACATGAATTGGAGAAACGACAAAATGTCAGTGAGTTGGCAAAAAAGTGTTCTCATTCCCCTATTTAAAAATAAGGATGATGTGCAAGAATGTGTCAACTATCAAGGGATTAAGCTTATGAGTCACACCATGAAACTTTGGGAGCGAGTGTTTGAGCAAAGACTCCGAAAAAGTGTGAAAATTTCAGAGAATCGGTTTGGTTTTATGTCTGAATGCTCAATAACTAAGGCCATTCACCTTCTTAGACAAATTGTAGAGAAGTATAGAGACACGAAATCAAATTTTGATTTCGTAAGTTCATCCACTGAGTATATGCGGTGCATGATGTTTGCCGACGATATTGTATTGATTGACGAGACGCAATAGGGTTTTAAAGCAAAGTTCGAAGTATAGCGACAAACATTGGAGATCAAGGGTTTTAGACTGAGCAGAAGCAATACCGAGTATATGGAGTGCATGTTTGGTGGAGGTAGAAATAGTGGTAATGGGATTACCCTTGAAGGCAAGGAGATACCGGTGTGTGATATGTTCCGTTACTTAGGCTCCATAATTCAAAAGGATGGTGAATTAGATGAAGATGTATCTCATAGAATCAGAGCAAGGTGGATGAAATGGAAGAGTGTATCGGGATTTCTATGTGATCGAGGTATGCCGACTACACTGAAGGGTAAACTTTATCAAACAACAATTAGATTTGCACTAATTTATGGCGTGGAGTGTTGCACGGTGAAAAAATGTCACATTCAAAAGATGAGTGCGGCAGAAATGCGTATGTTGCGTTAGATGTGTGGACATACCAAAAAAAACCACTTGAAAAATGAGATCACCAGACAAAAGGTACGAGTAGCACCTACAGGAGATAAGATTAGGGGTGGGATCAGGATGATCCCGATCCCGATTGCCCAAATCCTAATCCTGTCCCGATCCTGATTCAAACTACAAGAGGATCCCGTATCCCGTCCCAATTAAGTCGGGATCCTGACATTAAAATCCCGATTAAGTCAGGATCCCGATCGGGAATCCCGCTTAATCCCGCTAAATCCCGACAATGAAGTATCAAACATAAAATTATGTAATTTCTTTAGTTAAACACTAACTTTGATATTTAATGGTTTCAAGATTATTCTTTGTTCATTGTTATACCATATTTATCATCATCTATTTATAAATTTTATTGTAATAATTATCATCACAAATTCACACTAGTACATACTTTTAGAATAATTTTTATTTGTAACGTCAATTAATTAATAGTATAATTTTTGAATGAGCTATCAAGGCTTAGTGAAACTAACTTCAAACATTATATAAAAATCACTAAAAGAAGGATGTGTAACGTATATTATTTAAAATTCAAAATTAAGTAGACTCATTTAGAAACATTGTGACCAATGAATATAATGTATAAATACATATTATGATTATTTACTAAAGAAAAAAATCTTAGTCTCGATCATGATTTTTAAAGGGTTCATTAGAACCACAAAATTTGTAATATTGTGATTTAGATTGTCAGGATCAAGAATAATCTCTATTTAGTTAGGATCCCGAATATTCATTTTGGGACAAATGCCAAATAGTTTTAGAAGTTTGATATTGTAAGATACTCATAGTAAAAGATTAATCTATGTAAGGAATAAGTAATTAAAAAAGATATGAAATTATTTAGATACATATTCATTTTTTATATATTCATATATAATTCTATACATGTATATATATATATATAATGTCGGGATGTCGGGATTTTCCCGATCCCGACTTTTTTTATAAAAAAAATTCGGTCCCGTCCTGACTTAGTCGGGATTGGGAAAAATTCCCGACTAGTCGGGATCGGGATTGTCGGGATCGGGATTGTCGGGAGTCTTTCCCCAGCCCTAGATAAGATGCAGGAGTCTCGTTTGTGTTGGTTTGGTCATGTGCACAGAAGACCGAGTGATGCACCTGGTAGACGACTTGAGAGGTTGGGAGAAGAGGCGGGGAGGAGAGGGAGAGGAAGACCCAAATAGACTTGGATTAGAGGAATTAGAGCGGGTATGCTTCTTCTTGGGTTGGATAAGAGTATGTCTTTGGAGAGAGCAAAGTGAAGGGTGCATATTCGTGTGGATAAGTGATCTGTTTTCCTTCTTTCCTCTCTCTTTTCCTTTTATCTTTTATCATCTTTATCTTCCTATGTTCTTATGTTATTTTAATATTTTTTTATGCTCTTTTAGCTTTCTTTTGTTCTTAAGTTGTTTTTACCTTAGATTTATCTATATATTGTCCATTATATCTTACTTATCTTTTTATTCTTCTTATCTTTCTTCCATTTTTTGCTCTAATATCGTGGATTGATTCATGTTAGCCGACCGAAAATGTGGGGATAAGGCTTGGATGTTGTTTGTTGTTTGATACTTTTATGAAAATATTTTGAACAAGGAACATTTTGATTTCATTTTCACATTCAAAATAATTTTGTATTAAAAAATATTATTGGTCAAAGTTGATTGTAATTGGCCAAGAAAAGTCGACCCTTTTTGGGACGGAGGGAGTAAGACATTTCTTAGAGAAATAGAGCGAGAATTAAATAGCAAAATGTAGGAAATGCAGATGTTATTATTACCATTATATTCAAGTTCTTCTTTTGGAAGAGGATAGGTAACAGAGCACACTGTACCACAACCTTTGGCGAGACTGTGAACTTCTTCTGCCATATCGGCAGAAAGAATACCTCCAATTATGACTGTCCTAGCAACCCTGTTTGTGACAACAAACGTACAAGATATAATCACAAATTGAATTAGTAACAGTAAATACGTATTTAACCATCCACATTCATTGCAAGATATTTATGTTCATTTTCAGCATTTAGAGTTCAGTGGTCTACCTCTGCTTTTCTGAACCACTCTTTTCATCAAGCATGCCCTTCCAAAGTACTGAAGCTTTTCTTTTTCTTCTGGGATTATTTGAACATGTTTGGGAGCCTACAATTTCAGCTTTAAATAAAATCAGCTCTTTTTTAAAATTTAACCATTTCTGGAAACATTCAGCTTTTAGAACTCCCTTTTAGCATAAGTTTTAATAGGTTTTTCATATTTGGAAATTTGTAACAATAATTGGTTATTGAAATAATATTATCTCTCATCTGTCCCAAACACACAATAAGTAGCGTATCAGAGTTTTGAACCTGCTTCTTGGGAGTTCAGATCTAGTTCAGCCTTGACTGCTTCATCAGGCAAACTCTCATTCCTGTCTCTCTCTTGAGGATCCTTCTTGTTTGCATTAACTAACAAAATCGCAGAAAGAGATTAACGTTCCTTGAATTCCTCCATTATACATAGTATTATTTTAATTCATTCTCCTAAAATTTTCAATCAACAACAAATATTTGGACTTGTGCCACACGTTTATAACACGAACCTTGAGATCCCTTTAATTTACGTTGTTCAAGAGGGACTCGATGCATTGCATGTTTGACTCCAATTTTTCTCCCTCCAACTCTTGACTCATTTTTTAGCTCAATAGCACTATTTGCATCCTCAACATTTGCGCTGTACTCCACAAACAGAACCAAAACCACAACCTATTACAATACTGCTACTATGAATATGAACTAAAATAGACTTCATATACTAATAGGGAACTACTATTACTAATAACAATAGGAAAATCGTGCTAATACTTATAAACTAATAACAATTATAACTATAATAACAATAATAGTGTAATAATAAATATAAAAATAAGCCCATAAGGCCATAATAATAATAAGTTGAATTTATGTCATTGACTCGTTGGTACAGTGATAGTGAACTTACAATTGAACAAAGCCGATGCCTCGGTGCTCAGCAGTCCCTATGCAGTAGAAAAGGATGGACAATTAGAAGAGACTACCTCTGCTCCTATTTATTTGTGTTCTTTGAACAAATTTGCTTATTGCTTTTACAAATTCAATGATCATCAAATATTTTTTTACAAATTTTACCCTTCTTATCCTTTTATGGTTATGAAAGAAAAATTAAAAATGCAAGAAAGTAATTACTCTGCATTGAATGACAGCAATTTAGGCAAGACAAAAAATGTTTTCATAATTTGTAACCACAATGCAATTTTTAGGTTTTGATACAACAACAGCAAAAACAACATCCAAGCCTTATTCCCAAAATACTTTTCTAGGTTTCGATAAAAAAGACAAAAATCTACTACTCTGTAATTAGTTTTGCTTCTTCGTGCGTCAGAGTAAACAGAAAGATTAACATGTAAATGATTGGTTCTATCTATAGCTTAGCAAGTTTAGTTAGTCAGAATTATATTCCTTCAGCAGATATTATAACAGCGAAAATTCCATTAGCTTAGTTATAATTGTATCAAAGAATATACCTTTCTTTGTTACCAAAAAACACCTTCTGATAGGGCCAACATCACTGAAAGTTTCTTCAAGCTGTTTTATCACCAAAAATAAATATATTAGAGCTGACGTACAAAATAAGATATACAAATGTGTAGATATAGCAAATACAAATCCTGTTTAGTTGGGAGCTACCTGAGTGTTAGTAAAGGAGAACGGCAAGTTGGAAACAAAGACAGTGGAGGTAGAGTATTGGCTATCACCACTTTCCCTTTTGATATTCTTCTTTCCCATGACAGAGGGAGTCAAAATTAATAAAAGCGTCAATGATTCGGAGGCAAATTAGCACAAGTTCTTTTGAAGCTCCAAGCCTTCAAGTTCCAAGTCTTCACAGTGAATTCACCTTTTTCTGAATCACTAATCAACAAAACAGCCTTAAAATATAAATTACACAAGAAAACAGAAAAGTATATAAGAAAACATATCATTCCAATTATCCCTCTGTTCCAAACTCTTCATTCATTGCTTACTTTCTAATTCCATTTTATATCATTTCAATTTCTCTTTTGTACATTAACAGGGCTTTTAGTCTATTTTTCTAATGAGAATATGTGCCACCCAAATTAACTTTATCATTCAGGAAATTCCACAAACAGATGATAAATATATGATAAGCATTCAAAATTAAAATTAAAAATTCGAATTTTTTGATAAACCATTTCATTTTGTATGTAAACTAAACATCAAAGATGCAGGAACCAAACAAACTTCACATAAATATGTATGTAAAACAAAAAAAAATGCATAAACACCAAAATCATGCTTTTTACCTAGAAAGAGTAGAAGGTACAATGCTTTTTACAAAAAAGAGCTCTTAAGGAACTTACTAATGTTGAAACGGCGTTCGGCTGTGGGAGGAGAGCTGCTGCCGCTGATGAGGAGGCGGCTTTTAGCGGTGAGGAGAGAGAGGTGAAGCTGCGTTCAGCCGTGAACAGGGACTGCCAAGGTCCTATTAGGCGGTGTGGAGAGAGGCGACAGATACTGGTGAGGCAGCAACGTTCCGGGGTGAATAGACGGCGGTTCGGTGTTCGGCCGTGAGGAGTAGAAGAAGTCAGCTAGCCGCCATCGTTCATCTAGGTTAGAAGAGCGCGAGAGAGTTCTGAACTTCTGATTCTATTTTCAATATTTTTACGAAGGGTCAATTTCTAACTGGTATAATAACAACGATTTTAATATTATAAAAAGTACCCCGCTTCAAACTTTAATTTTCAACAATTATAAATATCTCTCCCATCTGGTCTTTAACGGCACCATAAACGTTTAGAATTTACAATTTTGGCTCCGCGCCTAGAAACTATAACGGGTGCATTCAACCTAGGGGTGGGCAAAAATCCCGGTCCCGATGTCCCAAACCAAAATATCCCGGTACCGTTTCGAAATTATCCCGATCCATTTAGGACGCAAATATTTCATCCCGAACCGGTCCCGCACCGATATTAATCGGGACGGGACCGGGATAGCTATAAAATAACATGTCTCGTCCCGGTGTCCCGTTTGAAATTAATATGTTATTTTAAATTTCTAGTGCTATGTAATAGCCAAACCCAATTGAAACATTCTAGTCCTTAGTCTCCCTAATGTAATTTTATCTTATTTCATGTCTCTCTTAGTCTCGTTTCTTTTATTTCTTTTGATTAAAATTTGTTTAGTTCGCATTCCAATATTAATCCATAGTATATTATTACATAGTATATTATTACGTGCGGAATATTATTTATGATGAAAGAACTACTACGTTACTCCAAATTATAGTGTTGTTATAGATTTATTATTTTCCAAAATAACTACTAGAATATATATATATATATATATATATATATATATATATATAGGGGAAGGTTCACATGGAAACCCCTCTTAAAATGCAAACTCGTGAAAACTCCGACAACCGGTGGTATTTTTGGCTCAAAGTTTTTGTGTATGTTCCTCATCAAGTCTAGTTCATCTATACCAAATTTGAGCAAAAAATTCAATCGGGAAGGTCATCAAATGATTTTTGAAAGAAAACTGCATTTTAAATGTATATTCCGGACCAGTTTTCTTTCAAAAATCATTTGATGACCTTCCCGATTGAATTTTTTGCTCAAATTTGGTATAGATGAACTAGACTTGATGATGAACATACAAAAAAACTTTGAGCCAAAAATACCACCGGTTGTCGGAGTTTTCACGAGTTTGCATTTTAAGAGGGGTTTCCATGTGAACCTTCCCCATATATATATATATATATATATATATATATATATGTATGTGTGTGTGTGTGTGTATAAGGGAAACACAAGATTAGGGGGACCAAAAAAATTACAAGACAAAAATTAAAAATAGTTAATTAAAGATTTTACTTAACTTTTTAGTGTCTTTATAGATATGATGTTTTGAAAAATCATATCTATAAAGTATAAAATATTTTGCACTACTATTTTACTAGAGGAAACACAATATTAGGGGGACCAAAAAATTTACAAGGCAAAAATTAAAAATAGTTAATTAAAGGGCTTACATAACTTTTTAGGGATGCTAAATTTGCTAAATTAGTTACGTCTTTATTTTGATGTTATGCTTATTTCTATATCACATTTCATAAATGCATATTTTTTATGGGACATCCCGAACCGTCCCGGTTTTTCTCGGGTTGTCCCGGTCCCGTTTTAAATGGGACAACATTGGGATAAAGGCTTATCCCGTACCGTACCGGACCGTTATTATAAAACCGGGACGGGATCGGGATAAGTCAAATCCCGAACCGTCCCGGACCGTGCCCACCCCTAATTCAACCCATATGAAATCCTAGTTGCAAGATGCAGTTTTTCCACTAATGCGAGTCGTAAAAAGCATTTGTGAATCCTCATAAGAGTCCAAAATGTGGCATCCTTCCCTCAAAAACATATGATAATCAAATAGTAACAATAATAACTGTAACCTCTCCGGTAAAACCCCCCATGCTGATTGTCAAAGCTTCTAACAGATATGTAATTTGCTATAAATCTATAATGTCAAGTCTTTTGTTGCTTCAAATAAAATGTACAATTGGAGTTGTGGGGAACAATATGGATTGTGGTGGATTTTTTTTTAATTCATGGACTTAAATCCATAGACTTTTTATGAATGAATTCTATTTACTTTTAAATCCATGGATAGGTTTGTAGACTTTCAAAAAGTCTAGACTTTTAAATCTGGAACGTCACTGTCGGTCGTCAGAATTTTCATCTAGATCGCCGCTACCGATCTACCTGTCCACCTACATCATCGGAGCTCGACGTCATCGTCATCAGGCATCCGCCACCAACAAAACAAATTTGGTTATGCAAGAGAACTAGGGGCAATTAATTATACTAATTAACTAAATTAGGGATAAAATGTAATATTTAGTCATATTAAGGGAAATCAAACATATAATCATATTTTGGGGAAAATGTTATGTTTTAGTATGATCCTGAGTAATTTCTTCTGTATAATATGATAAAAACAAGTAAATAAATAAATGAAACGAATGCAATTCATCTACAACACAGAGGTCTGGAAGAATAAATGAAGCATAAGAATCCAAATTTATTTTTATTATATAAAAAACTCAAAGTTTCGAGAATCCTCAACAATCTCTATCTATTTAAGATCAATTGTTATACTACACAACTGAATGAGTAAGAACATTAATCGTTACACGAGCGTTACACTCATTTCTACATGTGGTACAAGAATAGGTGCAATCGAGTTTTTCTTCTTAATTATTGTTTTCTTTCATTTTTAGCTTGTTAAATTTTGTATACTTAATTACGGTTATATATTTATTAATTTGAAATTATATTTTTATGTGTTAGCGGTTTAACGTTGAAACACGGTAAACTTAAAGTATTTTTTTTCTTAATCGTTAACTGACGATGTACCACAATTGCATTGATGTAATACTATCGATTCTTATATCATTTTTTCTAAAAACTTCTAGAAACAAATTGATATGGGATTAACGGTTCTTCAAATGGTTCCTAACTTTCTTTCAAGAACTGAACCAACTCTACCCATACATTTTTCTTCATAAGACGACATATAAAATATCATTTTTTTTATGTTTATCTTGTGTATCAGTATTAATGTAGAATCTCCTTGTTCAACTTTATATATCATAAACGATTTTAAGTTTTTAACTGCCAAATAAACTAAAGCACCGAACGAGCTCCTAGGGCAAAGCCCCCGCTAGGTAATTCCGATTTCGATCTTTTTTTATCGAAGTTCGATCAGTGTTTCCCTAGCGAGTTCTCTCGCGTAGGGTTTTTCTTCGTCGTCCTGGTGCGGCGTTTTTCTTTCAATCGACGTAGCTCTGCGCCGGAATGCCGTGGTTTGGGCGCAGCTCGGGATGGATGATTGTGGCAGCGAGAAGATGGTGGAAGAAGCGAGAGAGAGACATAGGGATGACTGGGACATGGTTAGTGTGAAGAGGCTAAACGCTCCATTCGATGGCATGAATTTGGGTCTTACGGCGGGTACACTACTGAAAGAGGGTATCAATCGAGCGACGGTCCGACCTCCGCCTGAACCACCACCATGGGTTGTACGAGGTGCTAGAGTCCGTGAAAGTTTTCCTAGTAATTTTTATCTGTTTGTCATTTGTTTTCTTGTGTTCATCTTTGTTGCTTGTTTTGACAATTTGTTTGAGTTTTTAGCCTCTTTTTATGTCATTGGGTATGGTTGGATCTATGGGAACAAGTTTGGTTGTGTCAAGCCCACTACATGGTTAGCGATTCGTGTTGCTCTTTCAGGGGTGACCGTCTCAAAGTCTCACCATAGGGTTACAGTCGTAGTTGTTGGAGTTTTAGTTGGTGTCAGTGTTATTTTCCCTTTGCTTGATGTAATGATCCTGAATCTTTTGATATGAATAGAGAAATGTTTTGATGATATAAAAAAAACTTTATATATCATAAGATGATAAAAAAAATCAAAGTTTAATATTCAAATCTTGCATATTGAGACCATCCCGGTACCCACCTCCCGATTAAAATCTTTCCGGAACTAGCCCATGACTTGTTGGGCAGTTTGTGATCTCGAGTAAGTAATTAGTCAAATCTGCAACCAGATCTATGCGTACTTGTGACAAGTACAAGTAGGGCTGGGACCGGCTCGGTTCTTACTCTAAATGAGTGGAACCGTTATAAAAGTTTTAACTAATGAAATCGGTTCGGTTCCTATATAAAAATCAAGAACCGTTATGGAACCGAACCGGTAGTAAACGGTTTGGTTCTTCCTTTTACCGGTTCTTAGAATAATTTTTTCTCGTCTAAAAATTAACACATAATTTTAAACACGTCGAAAATTCAAAACACGAGTATTAAAATTTTATTTGAAGCTTTAATCACTTCAAACATCAAAGCTCAAACTTAACTAATGAACTTTGAACACTTAATAGAATAAAAGTGATTTAAATTTTCATGTAATAAATGAAACATTAAAAATCGTTGTAGTGTCGGAGCGATGAAGGTTACTCGTCATCATAGTAGCAAGAATAGGACGCCTACTTCAAGTCTTTCAAAACATTAAAAAAAAACATTGAGTTTGCATGTATAGATATAAAAAAACATTATTACATTCTATTGATTCATAATAAATCTAATAATTAGAAATATTATGAAAGTAGTAAAGTAAAATATGTGCAATCAACTACAAGTTATTTGGGTTATTTTATATTTATAAAATTTATGTGATGGAACAAAACTTGATTTGTAGAAAGGAGTTTAATGTATATATCAACCTCATGCACAATATTTATTACTTCTTTTCCGTTGATTAAATTAGAATTGTTAGTTAAATATCTTATATTGTTTTATTATTGTTGTTGTGGTGGTGGTTATTATTGCTATTATATTATTATTATTATTGTTACTACTACTACTACTAATATTATTTTATTTTTTATATTTTTTAATAACGGTTCCTTAACGGTTCCATGCACATATTTTTTATAGGAACCGGGAACCGAACCGTTATAACCCACTTCGGTTCGGTTCCTACAAATGAGGCATTAATTGTTAACGGTTCAGTTCCTAGATGTTGTTAACGGTTCGGTTCCAATCGGTTCTACGGTTCCCGGTTCCAAAATCCCACCCCTAAGTACAAGACAACAGAAAAGTCCATAGAATTTTTTGGTGAAGAGAA